ATTTTAGAAGTACTGTTTTAATAAAATTAATCACCGAAATAGAGGCGGGTGGGTGGGCGGGGTTTATAATATGTTCTTCTGTAGAGTGGGAGTGATAGAAAATAGCTTGTAAAAAAAAACTAATCGTAACTTTTTTGTTGTACTCTTTGTTGCAAGATTTATTTCTTATTTCAAAAGAAAAATAATAAGACAACAGGGGGTGGGTGGGCGGGGCTAAGTTTACTTTTTCCTAGAGAGTCTTTTACAGGCAAATATTAGCCCCGCCCACCCGCCCCCTCTTCCTTCTGGTGATCACTCTTAGTACTGTTAATTATCGACAATATAATTATCTTATTACAACCTTCGGCGAACCTGTTAAACTGATGGTGAGAAAACAGACAAATTGTTATTCATCTTCTATAAATTACTCGATCTACACCTTATATGTATTTTGAGGATCTTTTTCTTCGTTTATAGTGACAGTGACAGTGACATTATATTCCCCATGTTACATATACATAAAACATACGGTTAATGGTATGTGAGATAAAAATACAAAAAATAGCAAGTGTAATAAGGAAAATATAAAATATATAAATAATACAAGTGTAAACAGTCTAAACCAATCAAAATTTTGAACAGTTTGTCATTAATTTTTAAATTCTCTAAATTTAAACTGTTAATTTTTTCTTTTAAACAATAAATTTTAGAAGTACTGTTTTAATAAAATTAATCACCGAAATGGAGGCGGGTATGTGGGCGTGGTTTACAATATATTCTTCTGCAGAGTGGGAGTGGTAAGTAACTGTTACTAACTAACCTGTAAAAAGGCTCTATTGTGACTTTTTTGTTGTACTATTTCTTATAAGATTTATTTCTTATTTCAGAAGAAAAATCTGTGAGAGAAGATGGGGTGGGTGGGTGGGGCTAACTTTACTTTTTCCTAGAGAGTCTTTTACAGGCAAGTATTAGTCCCGCCCACCCTCCCCCTCTTCCTTCTGGTGACCACACTTAATACTATTATTTATTGACAATATAATTGTCTTATTACAATCTTCGGCAAACCTGTTAAACCGATGGTGAGAAAACAGATAAATTGTTATTCACCTTTTATAAATTATTCGATCTATACCTTATATGTATTTCGAGGCTTTTTTCTTCGTTTATAGTGATAGTGATAGTGATATTTTATTCGCCATATTACATATACTACATACGTTAATGGCATGTCACATAAAAATCCAAAAAATAGAATGTGTAATAAGGAAAATATAAAATACAAGTGTAATAGTCTAAACCGACCAAAAATTTTGGACAGTTTGGCATTAATTTTTAAATTCGCTAAATTTAAACAGTTATTTTTTTTACAATAAATTTCGTCTTCTTTCTGCTGCAATAAATTTTAGTAGTACTTTTTTTTATAAAATTAATCACCGAAATCGAGGTGGGTGGGTGGGCGGGGTTTATAATATGTTCTTCTTCAGAGTGGCGGTGCTAAGTAACTGGAAAAAAACGCTAAACATAACTTTTTTGTTGTACTGTAATGAGAGAACGGGATGGTAGGCGGGGCTAAGTTTAACTTTTTCCTAGAGAGTCTTTTATAGGCAAGCGGTAGGCCCGCCCACCCACCCCCTTTTCATTTTGGTGACTGCTCTTAATATTGTTAATTATTGACAATTTTGCAATTAGGCTCCGCCCCTCGTTTTTACAACGAATCAAAAATTCATCCCGATTGAATTCCAGACGGATGGGTGGGGCTTCTCTTTTGCTTTTCTTTTTTAATTAATACATTTAGTTTTCTTTGCAGAACACGACTACTTAAAAACATATTTCACATGGTAATTTCTTGTAGAAAAATAAGGATTTTACAATTAAGCTACGACGAATAAAAAAAAATAGACATTGAAAACGAGTCTACACATATTAAAACTAAAAGGCAAAAAGTAAGCCCGCCCACCCACCCTATCTCATTTGTGATGATTTTTTTTATTCGCCGTGAACTAAAGGGGAGGAGCTTAACTGTAAAACACTTACTTCTTTACAAGAAATTAAAAACATGTTTTTGAGTATCGTGTTGTTCAAAGAATAGTATGCATATTAAGAAAAAAAAAGACAAAATATAAACCCCAGCCACCCACCCACCCCCTTTCAATTGTGATGATTTTTTTTATTCTTAGAAACTTAAAACACGTTTAAAATGCTAAAATTTTTGTAAGCAAATATGACATTTGCAATTAGGCTCCGCCCCTAGGTCTGCCAACGAATGAAAACTTCATTACTATTTAAATCAGGGCAGGTATAGGTGGGGCTTAATCTTTGGCTTTAATTTTTTCTTAATATATTTAGCATTCCCTGAATAACACGATACTCAAAAACATGTCTTACATAATAATTTCTTTTAGAGAAATAATAAGGAATACAAAAATAATTTATTCAACGAAACTGAAATCTAATTTGATCGTTTTATTGTTGTACGATTTTATAAAATTTTAATGGAAAATATCAGTGAAATAAAAGTGTTGCAGATTTTTTTTTTAATTTGAGAAACTTTGATATTCCACGATTTTTAGGAACCTTGCGATTTTATAAAATTTCAGAGAAAAAGAAGTCAAATTCACGAATATTTTGCAATTATTTTTTGAGAATCTGAGAAAATCTGTTTTGGAAGTGAAATTTTAGTTTTTCTAATATCTTTTTAATCCAAAAATTTTAACTTTTTTTTAATTTATGAATTGTTACAAAGTGATTTTCAAAAAAAAAAGAAATGTGAATTTTACTAAAAAGATAAACTTAGAAATTGAAAAATATTGTACCATTTTTGGAATCCAGCGATTTTATAAAATTTTATGGTTAAAGATAACTCATATTGACGAAAATCTTGTAGTATTTTTTTGAAAATTTGGGAAATTCTATTTTGGAAGTCAAATTTTGAGGTTTCTGTATTTTCTTACTTCCAAAAAATTAAAGTTGTTTTCAATTTCTGAATCGTTTCAAAATTGTTTTCGAAAAACAAGAAAAAATAGTTATTTTAGAAATTATGAACATTTTGATTTTTTTAAATTGTTGAATTTGTTTTAGTTTGTCGAATTTTAAGAAGATTATGTATAAGGAAATTTTCAATATTTGCATGAAAAATTAGACTTTTACAAAAAGGAAAACTGAAAAACTTACAAAATACTCCACGATTTTTAGAAACCTTGCGATTTAATAAAATTTTAGAGAAAAAAATGTCTCAAATTTACGAAAATTTTGCAGTTATTTTTTGAGAATCTACAAAAATTTGTTTTGAAAGACTTTTTCTATCATTTTTTATTACAAACATTTGAAACTCTTTTTTTAATTTATAGATTGTTACAAAGTGATTTTCAAAAAACAAGAAATATGGATTTTACAAAAAGGTAAACTTAGAAACACAAAAAATATTTTATAATTTTTCGAATCTAGCGATTTTATAAAATTTTAAGAAAAAAGAAAATTCAAGTTTACAGTATTTTTTTGAAAAAAATTGCATTCCAGGGAACTGTAAAGAAATCACATTGTTTTTTTAATTTTCTGAAAGTCAAATTTTACTTATTTTGTATTTTCCTTAGTCCCAAGTGTTTTAAGTTTTTTTCTAAATTATGACTTATTTCAAAATGATTTTGTTTTGTTGTATTTCAGGAGCGAGGAAAATTCTGTCGAAATAACTTTGAACCAGTAAAACACGTTTAAAATGCTAAAATTTTTGTAAGGAAATATGACATTTGCAATTAGGCTCCGCCCCTAGGTCTGCCAACGAATGAAAACTTCATTACTATTTAAATCAGGGCCGGTATAGGTGGGGCTTAATCTTTGGCTTTAATTTTTTCTTAATATATTTAGCATTCCTTGAATAACACGATACTCAAAAACATGTCTTACACAATAATTTCTTGTAGAGAAATAATAAGGATTTTGCAGTTAAATTTCGCTCCCTCGGCTCTCGACGATTAAAAAAAATCATCACAATTGAGATAGGGCGGGTGGGCGGGGCTTTTATTTTGCCTTTTTTCTTAATATACGTAGTCGTCTTTTCACAAGAAGAAACTTAAAACATATTTTAAATGGTAAACTCTTGTAGACAAATATCGGTCTTGCATTTAAGCCCCGCCCCTCGATCTAACAATGAATGAAGAATTCATCACGATTGAAAATTGAGATCGGGGCGGGTATGGGTGGGGCCTAATCTTTAGCTTTATTTTTCTTAATCTACATAGTACTCTTTGAACAACACGATACTCAAAAACATGCTTTTAATTTCCCGTAGGGAAATAAGGATTTTGCAGTTAAGCTCCGCCCCCTTGGCTCACGACCAATAAAAAAAGATCATCACAATTGAGACAGGGCGGGTGGGCGGGCTAACATGTTGCATTTTTTTCTTAATAAGTGTAGACTTATTTCGACAAGAAGAAACTTAAAACATATATAAACGCTTTTAAATACGGCAAAAGTTTTTCACCAATTACCACGAAAAATGCACCAAAAATTTTACAATATGAAGATAAATGCAGTCTACATTAAAATGTGCAATAAATGAAAAAAAAAAAGTTAAATATGCAGAATCTGCAAAAATATGCATTTTGCATAATTAGCCTTAATTATTAGTTCTTCTGCAGAGAGGGAGTGGTAAGTAACTGATAGAAACTAGCCTGTAAAAAAAACGTTGATTGTAACTTTTTTGTTGTACCATTCGTTACAAGATATATTTACTTCAGAAGAAAAATCAATGACAGAAGATGGGGTGGGTGGGTGGGGCTAAGTTTAACTTTTTCCTTGAGAGTCTTTTATAGGCAAGCAATAGGCCCGCCCACCCACCCCCTCTTCATTCTGGTGACCATTCTTATTACTGTTAATTATTTCAGGAAAACCCGTCGAGAGAATTCCACACCACTTCCGCATGGTACGCTTTTGAATTACTAAATGTTAAATATTTTTTTTTGTTCATTAACTTTCCTATTAAAACTCATAAATTGTGTAAATTAAATCACTTGGTCAGTTAATTAAAATGCGTGAATTTATATCCACAAACAAGTATCATAAGGGAAATCCTTCACCGTATTTAAGAAAAATACCAGATTTTGGACGATTTTGCAACGCAGTTTAGTTAATAGCTACGTTAGAAATTCCCACAAGATCACGTTCAGGGTAATTATTTATTCACCCATTTTTTTATATTCTGGTCCAACTACAAAATGCTTGTAGTATTTTTGCCAAACAGGTCGAAAAAAAGTGAATAAACCCATCGTCACCATTACGTAACTGCATTATCGAAAACGCTGATTATAGCCCGAGGACCCATTAACCGTCCACCGCACCATTTTACCAGCTCAAGGTCCCTCGCACAAAAACCGCCAGCTCGACAAATTTTCCAATGTTTTCCTTCTAAAACAAACAATCGTTTTTAATTTTCGAGAGCACGTACCACCAGAAGGCCGCCAACATCCTCCAGACATCCCAGCCGACTTTGCTCCTGAGGTCACCGCCGCCTATAAAACCCGCCGAACTGCCTCTAGATCAGTTTAGTTGGCCATGATCCGAACGCGGCACGTGGAGGACTTCTTCGACGTGTCGGAGCGAGACGTCGACGACGTCAAGAGGATGATCTGCGAAGACGACGCCAAGCTGCAGCACCTGGAGGAGCTGCTGAGGGTGTGGATCGAGAGCCAGCCCCACTTCCCGAAGAATTACGGTTGGTTGATAAAGGGTCGAAATTTGCGTGTATCGACAGTTTTGCAGACCGAGGGATGATGAGGAATTTTCTTAGGGGGGCGAAGTTCAGTCTGGAGACGGCGAAGCGGAAGCTGGAGGGGTACTTCTGGGCGAAGGTGGCGTACCCGAACTTCTACCAGAGGCGGGTGCCGGGGGACGTGAAGACGGCGCAGATTGTGTAAGAGGCTGGGGGTGGAGTGTGGAGGCGGCTGACGGTGGTGTTTTAGGAATGTGGTGCGGCTGCCGAGGCTGACGGAGGCAGGGGAGAAGATCTGTGTGGTGGGGCTGGCGTGCAACGACCCGGATGGGGCGGAGTTTGATATGGTGGCGGCGATAAGGCTGTTCTGGATGTTGTGTAAGTTGAAGTTGTTTATGATTTGTTAATTAGTTAGATCAGAGTTTCGCTTTCAATATTTTTTGCAATTTTTTTTTTGTCGCTGGAAATTTACTTGGAACCAGGTTTAATCGATCGAAAAACCGAGAAACAAATCACGCATTAGCACATTCTGCATTAATTGGATAATTGGCACTTAACATTAATACCTACTGACCATGAAATCGCAACAAGGTAACATTTTAAACACCCATTGGTCAAATTCCCGCTCCATTAAAATTATACAATTTTTGCTTCCTGTAATCGAGTCGACTGAATGACTGCTACTGTTTTGTCGACCCATAGACTACGAAAAAATAGGTTTCCCGTTTCCGCCTTTTCGATTTTTCATTTTATGCTTTTTTGTTTTGACATTTTTCAATTTTACAATTTTTCCTTTTTGTTTTGAATCGAGAATTTGAAAAATCGGAAAAACTGAAAAATCGTAGAACTGCAAAAACGAAAAATTGAATCATTTAAAAACTAAAATCGAGAAACTTAAAAATCGAAAAACTGTAAAATCCAAAAATTGTAAAACCGAAAAATTATAGAATCGACAAAATTTTAAAGTCGAAAATATGTAACATTGAAAAATCAAATAAATGGAAAAATTTTAAAATCCATTAATTGAAAAATGGAAAAATTCTAAAATCGTAAAATTGAAAAAGTGAATTTTTTTAAAAAATATCATATATTTATAATGAAAACTAGAAAAATTGCAAATCGAAAATTGAAGAAACAAAATAATAATTGAAATTGGAGAAACAAAAAAATTATAAAATCGGAACATTGAAAAATCGAAAATTTTAAAATTGAAAGCTCGAGATATTTTAAATTGAAAGCTCGAGATATTTTAAATTGAAAAATTACAAAATCCAAAAACTGAATAAATTAAAAAAAATAGAAAACCAAAACGAAAAAAAATGGAAAATTGAAAAATTGAAAAATTTCGTATTGAAAAAAGAAAATTTATAAAATCTTAACATTGAAAATCCAAAACATTGTAAAAATTGAGAAAATTAAAAACCGAAACAAAAAAGAAGTTGGAAAATCGAAAATCTGAAACTTTTACATATCGTAAAATTGAAGAAACGAAAATTTGAAAAAATTGAAATTGAAAAAACAAAAACTCATAAAATCTAAACATTGAAAAAACAAAAAATAAATGAAAAATTCCAAAACGAAAAACTGAAATTAAAAAAAAAATTAATAAATTGGAAAATCGCGAACTCGAAAAATTGGAACAATAAAGAAAATAAAAACCAACACCAAAAATTGCAAGTTGAAAATTTGAAGAAACGAAAAACGAAAGAATTGAAAAATTGGAAAATTTAAAATTGAAAATGCTAGAAATTTTACATCGAAAAATTGCAAAATCCAAACATTGAAAATTTTTTTTTAGTGAAACAAGAAGAATGATAAAATCAGAACATCGAAGAACCAAAAAATTTTAAAAATTAAGAAAATAAAGAACCGAAACGAAAAGAAATTGGCAACTTGAAACACTGAACAATTTTACATTCGTAAAATTGAAGCAAAAAAATGAAAAATTGCGAATCCAAAAAACTGAAGAAATTAACAGCAAAAAAATAAATAAAAAACAAAACGAAGAATTGCAAGTTGAAAATTTGAAGAAATGAAAAATTATAAAATCAGAACATTGAAGCCCAAAAAAACTGAAAAAATTAAGAAAATGTATTGTACAATTGAAAAAAATAAAAATAAAAATTGTGAATCCAAAAAATTGAAGAAAGCAAAAATTGAGGAAATTGAAATTGAAAACCAAATTGAAAATTAAAAAAATTCTGAAAATAAAAAATAAAACAAAGAATTACAAGTCGAAAAATTGAAGAAATGAAAAATTATAAAATCAGACCATCGAAGAACCGAAAAATTGAAAAAATTAAGAAAATAAAAAACCGAAGCGAATAAAGTTGGAAAGTGGAAAACTGAAAAATTTTAGATATCCTAAAATTGAAAAAAAAAGATGAAAAATTGCAAATCCAAAAAATTGACGAAAGGAATAAATTGAAAAACAAAAAATCATAAAATCGGAACATTGAAAATTTAAAAAATTCTAACAATTAAAAAAAAGAAAATACAAAAAAACGAAATTTTAAATGGAAAATGCAAAAAATTGAAAAATTCAAAAGTTGGAAAATCGAAAAACCTAAAATTTTTCCACATCGTAAATTTGAAGAGACAAAAAAAAGAAAAACTGAAACACTGCAGATCGAAAAATTGAAGAAACGAAAAATTGAAAATAATTGAAATTGGAGAAACAAAAAAATTATAAAACCGGAACATTGAAAAATCGAAAAATGGTAAAAATAAGAACTGAAAACTGGAGAAATTTTAAATCGAAAATTTTAAAATTGGAAGCTCGAAATATTTTAAATTGAAAAATTGCAAAATACAAAAACTGAATAAATTAAAAAAATAAAAAACCAACACAAAAAAAATGGAAAATCGAAAAACTGAATAATTTTACATATCGTAAAATTGAAGAAACGAAAAATTGAAGAAACGAGAAACTGAACAATGGAAAATTTGAAAAATTTGAAATTGAAAAAACAAAAAACCATTAAATCGGTACATAAACCCCAACGAAAAATTCCAAATCGAAAATTTGAAAAAATGAAAAATTCAAAAATCGAAAAATTTCGTATTGAAAAAAGAAAATTTTAAAATCTGAACATTGAAAATCAAAAACATTGTAAAAATTGAGAAATTTGAAAACCGAAACGAAAAAGAAGTTGGAAAATCGAAAATCTGAAAAGCTTTTACATGTCGTAAAATTGAAGAAACGAAAATTTGAAAAAATTGAAATTGAAAAAACAGAAACTTATAAAATCGAAACATTGAAAAAACAAAAAATAAATGAAAAATTCCAAACCGAAAAATTGAAATTAAAAAAAAAAAAATAAATTGGCACATCGCAAAATCGAAAAATTGGAACAATAAAGAAAATAAAAACCAAAACCAAAAATTGTAAGTTGAAAATTTGAAGAAACGAAAAACGAAAGAATTGAAAAATTGGAAAATTTAAAATTGAAAACGCCAGAAATTTTACATCGAAAAATTGCAAAATCCAAACATTGAAAATTTTTTTTTAGTGAAACAAGAAAAATGATAAAATCAGAACATCGAAGAACCAAAAAATTTAAAAAATTAAGAAAATAAAGAACCGAAACGAAAAAAAATTGGCAACTTGAAACACTGAAAAATTTTACATATCGTAAAATTGAAGCAAAAAAATGAAAAATTGCGAATCCAAAAAACTGAAGAAATGAAAAGCAAAAAAAATAAAAAACAAAACGAAGAATTACAAGTTGAAAATTTGAAGAAATGAAAAATTATAAAATCAGAACATTGAAGCCCAAAAAAACTGAAAAAATTAACAAAATGTATTGTACAATTGAAAAAAATAAAAATAAAAATTGTGAATCCAAAAAATTGAAGAAAGCAAAAATTGAGGAAATTGAAATTGAAAACCAAATTGAAAATTAAAAAAAATCTGAAAATAAAAAATAAAACCAAGAATTACAAGTCGAAAAATTGAAGAAATGAAAAATTATAAAATCAGACCATCGAAGAACCGAAAAATTGAAAAAATTAAGAAAATAAAAAACCGAAGCGAATAAAGTTGGAAAGTGGAAAACTGAAAAATTTTAGATATCCTAAAATTGAAGAAAAAAGATGAAAAATTGCAAATCCAAAAAATTGAAGAAAGGAATAAATTGAAAAGCAAAAAATCATAAAATCGGAACATTGAAAATTTAAAAAATTCTAACAATTAAAAAAAAGAAAATACAAGAAAACGAAATTTTAAATGGAAAATGCAAAAAAACTGAAAAATTCAAAAGTTGGAAAATCGAAAAACCTAAAATTTTTCCACATCGTAAATTTGAAGAGACAAAAAAAAGAAAAACTGAAACACTGCAGATCGAAAAATTGAAGAAACGAAAAATTGAAAATAATTGAAATTGGAGAAACAAAAAAATTATAAAACCGGAACATTGAAAAATCGAAAAATGGTAAAAATAAGAACTGAAAACTCGAGAAATTTTAAATCGAAAATTTTAAAATTGGAAGCTCGAGATATTTTAAATTGAAAAATTGCAAAATCCAAAAACTGAATAAATAAAAAAATAAAAAACCAACACGAAAAAAAATTGAAAATCGAAAAACTGAATAATTTTATATATCGTAAAATTGAAGAAACGAAAAATTGAACAATGGAAAATTTGAAAAATTTGAAATTGAAAAAACAAAAAACCATTAAATCGGTACATAGACCCCAACGAAAAATTGCAAATCGAAAATTTGAAAAAATGAAAAATCCAAAAATTGAAAAATTTCGTATTGAAAAAAAAAATTAATAAAATCTGAACATTGAAAATCAAAAAAAAACGTAGAAATTGAGACAATTAAAAACCGAAACGAAAAAGAAGTTGGAAAATCGAAAATCTGAAAAGCTTTTACATGTCGTAAAATTGAAGAAACGAAAATTTCAAGAAATTGAAATTGAAAAAAAAAACTCATAAAATCGAAACATTGAAAAAACAAAAAATAAATGAAAAATTCCAAATCGAAAAATTGGAACAAGAAAGAAAATAAAAACCAAAACCAAAAATTGCAAGTTGAAAATTTGAAGAAACGAAACATGAAAGAATTGAAAAATTGGAAAATATAAAATTGAAAACGCTAGAAATTTTACATCGAAAAATTGCAAAATCCAAACATTGAAAATTTTTTTTCAGTGAAACAAGAAAAATGATAAAATCAGAACATCGAAGAACCAAAAAATTTAAAAAATTAAGAAAACAAAGAACCGAAACGAAAAGGAATTGGCAACTTGAAACACTGAAAAATTTTACAAATCGTAAAATTGAAGCAAAAAAAATTGCGAATCCAAAAACTGAAGAAATGAAAAGCAAAAAAAAAAATAAATAAAAAACAAAACGAAGAATTACAAGTTGAAAATTTGAAGAAATGAAAAATTATAAAATCAGAACATTGAAGCCCTAAAAAATTGAAAAAATTAAGAAAATATATTGCACAATTGAAAAAAAAAAAATGAAAAATTGTGAATCCAAAAAATTGAGGAAAGCAAAATTTGAGGAAATTGAAATTTAAAACCAAAAAATCATAAAATCGGAACATTGAAAATCAAAAAAATTCTAAAAATAAAACAAAGAATTACAAGTCGAAAAATTGAAAATTTTATAATGAAACAAGAAAAATTATAAAATCAGACCATCGAATAACCGAAAAATTGAAAAATAAGAAAAATAAAAAACCGAAGCGAAAAAAGTTGAAAAGTCGAAAACTGAAAAATTTTACATATAAAATTGAAGAAAAAACATTGAAAATTCAAAAAATTCGAAAAATAAAAAAAAGGAAAATACAAAACGAAGAAACACAAGTTGAAAATTTAAAGAAATGAAAAATTCAATTTGAAAAAACAAAATATCAGAAATAAAATCGAAACATTGAATGAAGAAATGAAAATTGAAAGAATCGAAAATTCAAGTCAGTGTTACCAAAAATCGCGAAAATTTGTATAATTTTTAAGGAAGTTCAGTCGAAATAACCTTCAACCAATTTCTTGACCTCCTCATTTCTCCCTTTTTCAGTCGACCTGAGCCTGACCTGCGCCTTCCCCACCTCCGGCGAAATCCTCGTATTCGACGCCGCCTCCGCCTCCGCCCGAGTCATCGCCCAGCTGCTCACCCCCGCCTTCAAAAACTCCATCTCGGTACTACGCCACGCCTACGCCATCCGAATCACCGAGGTCCACGTGATCAACTGCCCCTCAGTGGCGGAGAAAACGGTGGCGGCGATCCGACCCTTACTACCAGAGAAATTGAAACAGAGGGTAGGTTGGCAGCACTGGAACTATAGTCCGTATTATACTGCAACAATTTTTGCAGTTTACCATCCACAAGGACTTGGGGTCTTTGAAGGAACACCTCCGACCCGAGTTGCTCCCGTCGGACTATGGTGGTACGCTTGACAGCTTAAAAAGTTACATGGAACGGTGGACGGACATTCTACAAGAGAACGCCGATTGGTTCGAGGAGCAAGAAAGCGTGAAAATTGTGGGTAAACCACCGAACAAGGTTAACTGCTTTACTAGCGACATCGGCGTCGACGGCAGTTTCAGGCAGCTCAACATCGACTAACCTCAAATTTTCTAAATGTAAATTATTTAATTTTTCACAAATATAAAATCGAAAGTGATTTTGGCTGTTGTAATTGGGGTTTAGCAGTGGTGCCAACCCTAGTGAAACCAAACAAACTACTCCTTTTTGTAATCGAGTTTAAATAATTTTATTTTCCACAAACAAATACAAAATAACTTTACAAACAACAATTGGCAACTGAGTAACTAAACCTTAACCTAAGCTTAAGTCCTCGAAACGCTAACTTAAATTACGACTAAACAGTCTTGTTACTTCTCAATACGTGACGTATTGACAGTGACGTCACTCCCGTGACCAATGTAGTAAAACCTCGTGACTAGACATAAAACGTGAGTAAATATTATATAAAATAACTTCTTCCTCATTAGTAAAAGCAAATAATTCCAAAATTCGTGCCCCGTCTTTGGTAACCTAAATAAGCCACAATCTGCATATCACAGAGTTTAAGTCTCGAAGTGTTTATAGATCGCAGTCACGTAGCCCATGACTTGTTGCCAGTCGGGGCGCTCTAGTTGTATCATGTCGTTGATATTCTACAACAAACATAATAACGAAAAAATCCCCAAAGACTGTGATTTTTTACCAAAGTGGTCGGAATCCCTACACTTTCAGCGGCCCCAAACGCCAGTGAAAAATTGCGCCGCTTCTCCTGCGCCGTCAGACTGTCGTAAGGGATGCGGTCCGGAAGGTAAGTGTGTAAAAGGGCACAAAGGGCCAGCCCGTCGTTCCACGAACTACTAAAATTCGTGATATCTATATTTCGATACCCGACTGTCTTATTCTGGCACCACTTGAGCAAGGCGTTGCGCTTGGAGCCCCCATTTTTCACCAAACCGTTCAAAGGGTCCTTCCGCTCACCTACAAAAACACGAATTTAGGGTTTTTGCTTGTCACTCCAATCGTGCCAATTACTTAAATCCGAGTAGCTATTTCGGCGCGAAAAATCCAAACCTTTTTGAAGAAGCGACTCCTTGAACCCGTCCTCGGGCTTCTTCACTAGGTCGCTCTTCGTCAAGGAGTCTGAATCACAACGGTTGGTTAATTAATAACAATTACATAACCTCATTTTTCGCTACCTGATATGACAGTCTTGCTCCAGTCTCTGTTGATTTTGTTGGGTTGTTGTTCTTTCAGAGGCGTCTTGATCGGCTCGCTCCAGTCCCCGCGCAGCGGCGACCCTGCAGACAACGACGGCACCCCCAGGGGACTGGACGGACTCCTGGCGTCCGACGTCATCGAGTTGATACTCGAAGCCGAACTGCTCCGAGACACCGAGTTCAAGCTAATCGTTTTCGTCACAGGTTTACCGGCATTTTCGATGCTTTCGATCAAACTCTTGACGCTCTGTCTGCTGTTCTGGCGACTCAGAGTGACCTTAGGTCTCCGACTTAAATCCTCGACTTGGAAGCTCGTGGGCCGGATCGGTAAAGGTTCGCTAGTGGCTGCAAAAAACAAACCTAGTCAAAGACAGACAAAAGCGGCATTATTATTGAAGCACATGGCAAGACGTGGACAACTAAACAAACACCGTACTTCAATAAGAACACGAAGGTACAAAATTTATTGCTTTATTACTACTAGTACTAGTACAATAAAGGGGCTGCGCTACGATTTCGCCCCCTCGAATATCGCTCTCAAGTCGCTCACTCTCGCCGACTTCTCTTCGTTCTTCTCTTTAAAAGAGTCCCCCTTTTTTCGCTCGTACGTGATGCTGAAGCGCGTTTTCCTCACCTGGCCGGCGAACTCTCGATAGATGGCTTCGGTGCTATCAGGATCAGGGAACGACACTCTAGGCGAAGCCACCGGTTTCTTGTTGACGACGACAGGAGGGAGCGTCGACCTGGTGGACGACGGCCCCAAGACGTTGGCATACACGGGCTCGTAAATCGGCGCCGTGTCGAGTTTCCTGGGGGCCAAAATCTGAGGGAAAACGTGTCTCTCGTGGGGGTTCTCCTCGAAGTCTAGGTATCGATAGCGCAACTCGTCCACCAAGGACAAGTCTTCGGAGTTAATATCGGACAAAGGCTGCGAAATGCGGCGGTTGGAGTAGTGGTCGACGAGCTGGGACTCTTCTTCGGTGAGGTGGGGCTGCCCGATAACTTCGTAGATGGGTTCGGGTGTCTTTTGGGTATTCAAGAGGTAGTGGTTGTCATGATTGGTTTCTGGTGAAGTTTCGTCAAAATCGAAATGATCTTCTTTGGTAGGGGAGGGTTTGGGTTGGTCTTCGACTCTTCCAAAGTCTTCCAGGAAATCAAAGTGGGTCTTGCTTTTAACCAAAGGGTCTGGTTTGTCTGGAAAACGCTCCAGAATGTTGAAATCAACTTCCTTTGTTTCTTCATAGATGTCGAAAGATTCTTCTTTTTCTTTAGAGGCGTTTAGATCTTTGTCAGACTCTTTATCAAGATATCTTGGTTCAGTTTCTATAATGTGAGGGCCTTTGATATCGATTATTTGTGGAAGATTTTCTTCTTCGAGCGAACCAGTTTTTCTTGGATCTTTATCAAAATCTTTTGGTTTCTTCGTAGTTTTATCATCAAACGTGTCAAAAGTTTCTTCTGTCTTTTGATACTTAGAATCTTTATCAAGATCTCTTGGCTCACGTTCTATATCTTTATCCTCTGTATCCAAAATGTGGGCGTCTTTATCCACATTTTTAGACAATTGTGATACGATTATTTGTGGAAGAATTTCTTCTTTGAGCGGAACAGTTTTTCTTACATCGTTTGCTTTCTTCGTAGTTTGATCATCAAAAACGTCAAAAGTTTCTTCTGACGTTTGATACTTAGAATCTCTATCAAGATCTCTTGCCTGACGATCGTCTGTATCCAAAATATGAGGATCTTCATCCACACTTTTAGACAATTGTGATTCTGTTTCTTCACTCTCGATGACGATTATTTGTGGAAGATTTTCTTCTTTGAACGAACCAGTTTCTATTGGATCTTTATCAAAATATGTTCGTTTCTTCGTAGCTTCATCATCATCATCATCATCATACTTTTGATACTTAGAATATTTATCAAGATCTTTGGACCCACTTTCTGTATCTTGATTGGTATCCAAAATGTGAGGATCTTCATCCACACTTCTAGACAATTGTGATTTAGATTGTTTAGTCCCGATGTCGATTATTTGTGGAAGATTTTCTTCTTCGAACGAATCAGTTTTTCTCACATCTTTATCAAAATCTTTTGGTTTCTTGGTGGCTTTATCATCAAACGTGTCAAAAGTTTCTTCGAACTTCTTTGTCTTGTCTTTTGTTGAGTCATCTGACTTTTGATACGTAGAATCTTTATCAAGATCTCTTGGCCCACTTTTTATATCTTGATCGTCGATTATTATCAGTGGAAGATTTTCTTCTTCGACCGTCTTAGTGTTTCTTTCTTCCGTTTCTATATCATTATCAAAATCTTGAAACACCTGTAAATCTTCCATTCTAATACTGACAACTCTGTCCAAATCTTCATCGTCATTCTTCTCCCGTTCTTCGTAATCGGATTTTTCGACCGCTCTCGGAACGTAAAAATCTTTATCAAAATCTTCAGACATCTTCGCCTTTTTGTCTGTGTCATCGTCGCGCTTTTGTACTTTAGGTGTATTAAAAACGTAATCTTTATCAAAAATTTGGACCACCAACTCTTCGTATTCTTCCCGTTCTTTTTCAGTTGTCTTCTGACTATCAACTGAATCCAAGTCGATCCCAGAAGAATCTTTATCAACACCTTGATCATCTTGATAATCTTCCTCGTCGCTCGACTTCTCGAACTTCCCCTTCATTTCTTCAATCACGTGACTGTACCTCTGCCTCGTCCCTCTTCTAGCCGCGACCACTTCTTCATCTAGCTCTTCGTACGTGAAACCGTCTTCGTACTCCAGGCGCCTTAATATCGCCTCGTTCAGAGTTTCGGCCACGTTCTCACCACCATCAGGACGCATCTGCTCATCGTCGTCTTGATCCTCTTCGGAAATTTTCATCTGTTCATCTTTATCAAAATTGTCAACAACAGTTTCGGCCACGTTATCATCACTATCAGTATCAGGACGCATCTGCTCATCCGAAACCTTCATCTGTTCATCTTTATCAAACTTATCAACGACAGTTTTGGCCACGTTATCATCACCATCAGGATCCGAACGCATCTGGTCGTCCGAAATCTTCACCTGTTCATCGTTATCAAACTTATCGACGACGTCCACGCCACGATCTTTATCAAAATTATCAACGCGATCGTCGTCTAGGTAATTGTGCTCCTTCTTGAAGGTGTTGTTGTTGGTCTGGAAATTCTTGAACACCGAATCCTCCATGGCCGGATCGCGGAACTCCTCAGGGGGAAGCACCGGGTCCACGTCACTCTTATTTTCTTCCTCTGAGTACATATTGGGTACTTGGAACTTGAACGTGATGTCGTTATAGCTCTTGCTCTTCTTCAAAGTGTCTTGATTCCACTGGTATGACAACGGCACGCTGTATCTGTCTTTGGTTTTCTTCAGCTGCTTCTTCGCCCGTTTCGTCACTTTGGGGTCTTCGGCAGCCACGCTCTTCATCACCGGGTCCCTCAGGATGTCGTAGAGTTTGCTGTTGCGCTCGACCGACTCCTGGGTGGGTCGACTGATGACGGGTTTCTTGCGCCCCAGGTTGGGCCTCTTCTTCAGCGTGGTTTTCTTTTCCTCCTTGCTTAAAACGTCGCGCAAGCGCAGCGCCAGCCGCTGCTCCTTCGTGAGTTGATCTTCAGGTGTGTTGGGGTCGATTTGGCTGCAGATGCTCTCCAAAGTGTTGAAATTGACGCTACTCTTCTTCCGTTTCTTGACTCGCTTCGAGTCTTTGGAGAGAGTTAGAAGGTCGTCGGTGCTGTCATATCTCCGGAGCGACGTCTTCTCCAGAGTCGTGGGTAAATCTGACAAACTCTTGCTGCGTCTGTGGACATCGTCGTCGTCGCTCTTGTTAGTAACCCCCACGTCGCTTTGTACCTTCTGGAACGACTCAATCCTCTGGAGGTTGAGGTCGTCCACCGACGCTCCAATAGCGTCAATCAGAGAAATCCTCGCCGGAGACAAACTCCTCTGACCCTCCTCCACGTTCGTCAACTTCTCATCCTTGACGATTTTCCCCAGCTTCGGGTTGGATATCACCGACTCCAGGGACGGTTTGCTGATGGCGAGTTCGTTCTTGGGTTTGTGGGCTACGGGTTTCTGGCGCGGGAACTCGGTTTCGTAGTGCCTTTTGAGTACTTTGACGGCGCGCTGTTCTTCGGTTAACAGCGCGTCCGACAAGTTCTCGATTTCTTTGTAGCGGCGGTCCAGCGACGACATCAGCATCTCCTCGTTCGACAAGCGCGGCGACGGTTTTCTCTTGCTGCCACCTAGTGGAGACTTGGAAGGTTGGGTCTTTGGAGGTGAGGACGTACCTTTGAGTTTGTCGATTTGGGACTCCAGCTGCTTGATTCGTTCGCGGCTCGCTTTGTTCTCCATGATGAGCTTCTGGAGGTCTTGTTGGGCCTCGGTTTTGAAGTCGTTGGCCACGCGGACGGAGGTGAGGAGGTCGTTCTGGAATTTCTCCCATTCTTCTTCCTGGAAGGAGGAAACGAAAATGACTCGATTACAATCAAGAACGTCATCGACTTACCTGCTCTTGTTTCGTCTTCTTCAACTCAACCAACTCGTTCTCCAGGTCCATTACTCTTCGTTCCGATTCGTTCAAGTTCCGCTGCGTCTCGGACAACACCGTCGAAAGCTGCCGCTTATCGTCCAACTGACACTGCGCCTGCACCTGGAGCTCGTTTACAGCTTCCTGAAACTGCTGCAGCTGCTCCGTGGTTGCGTTCTTCTCGTTCACCACCGTCTCCAGCTTGTACTCTAGGTCTGACTGCGTCATCTTCGCGTTGTTCCGAATCACTTTACACTCCTCCTGCAGAATCGAGACTTGCTCCTTCAGTTTTTCGTTCTCGTTCTTGCTTAACGCTAGCTTCTCCTTCAGGTGCGCTACTTCCGACTCGAGCGCGTCTTTCTCCTTGCGCGCGTTGTCCAACATCTCGTCCAGCTCCGACTTGTCGCTCAGCGCGCGGTCCTGCTCCAGCTCGTTGATCTTCGTCCTGGCGTTCTCGAGGAGGTCCTTCAGTCGGTTGATCTCGATCTGTCTGCCGCTACTCTGGTCTTTGGCTTGCGCCAACTCCTGGTCGAGCTGCTTGTGCTCGGCGTGTTTGGCGTCCAAGGTGCTCTCCAGAGTTTTGACGCGCTCGCTCAACTGGGAGATCTCGCTCGAGTGGTGCATATTCACCGACCGGGATTCCTCCAGGTCGTTCCCGAGCTGCTCATGCTTCATCAACAAAGTTTCGGTTTCTTCTTGTGCCGATTTTAACAAGTCTACGAGCTTCTGCTCGCGTTCTGCAGCCGTCTCGAACTGGCCGCTGTCGTCTTTGTAGAGGAGTTGTTTTAAAGACTCGACTTCGCCTCGCGAGTCGTTCAAGCGCTCGGTTTGCCGACACAGAGACTCGAACATGAGGTTTTTCTCTTCGTTGAGACGCACGTTTTCTTGCTGGAGCTCCGTGAGCTGCCGCTGGAGGTCGGTCAGCTCTTGGAGGGTCGCTTGGAGTTCTTCGTTGGTGCTGAAATTGTCGATGTTTTGAGTGAGTCGTGGACGTCGTCGTCGTCGTGGCTCACCTGTAGTGCGTCTCCTGCATCTGGTTGATCTTGTCCTGGAGGCACGCCACCGAGACCTCGCTGACGTTGCTACTGGAATGCTTGTCCCATTCCGGCGTGGGACAGCTCGTAATGTCACCGCCATCGTCCAGCAACTGTCAAAGTGACACAATGAGTCATAGTTACCCCTAGACACCCTACTCACGTTCGTGGCGATGGACGCCGGCGCCGAGCTGTGGTGCCTGGCCTCGTACAGCAGCTGCTGCTTCTCGTTGTCCGAGAGCGGCGAGTGCGCCACGTCCCGGAGGCGGTTCCTCAAAATAGTGTTCTCCTCCGCCAACTGGTCCACCTTTTGCGCCGCCTCCTCCTGGAGCATCCGCAGGTGCGTCACCTCGCCCTGCAGCTTGCCCAATTGGCCGCTCTGCTCGCCGAGCTGCAGCGCCAGGGAGGATTTGTCGCTGGCCATCTGGGCCAGCTGCCTCTGCAGCTCGTCGACGTCGACGGCGCCGTCGCCGTCGGACTCGCGGTTGTTGTTCTTGCTTAAGGCGCGGCCGCGGTCATGCTTCTTGTCGGCGGCGGTCTTGTCTAGGCGGTCCTTGGAGTCGGCCTTCTTGGGGCGGGCGCCCTTGGGCTTGTGCTCGGCATTGAGGTTGCTGGCGGAGGACGAGCGGGAGAGCTCCTCGGGGGTGGGGGTCTCGGGCTTGGAGGGCTGCTGGCCTCTGCGGAATATGGCTTTGATGCTTTTCATTTTCACCATAGCAAGGGCGCGAGGACGGTGTGGCGGCGGCGGTCAGAGGCGCTAGAAGGACGCGAGTGAGGCGGGGGCGGTTTTTTCCCACGGGTTTGAGGTGGAGAATGCGTGGGAATTTGAGTGCGCATGCGCAGAAATTCGAATTTAGTTCTAGATCTAGTTTGAACGCTTTAGTTTCAGAAATTTTGAACATTTGGTATCTTAAAACAAATACATAATTATATAATTTTCAAGATTAAATTAAGATTTTCACGCGATTTACAGAATTTTTTTTAAATTTGTGTACTTTTAACAAAATCAACTAAGATTTTCACGTGATTTACACATTTAAATTTTTAGATTTATCTTTAACAATATCAACGAAGATTTTTGGATTTCAGAAGTTTCTCAACGAGAGTTCAGAAATTTCGAAAACGGAAATTTTAGATTTATCTTCAACAAAATCAACGAAGATTGTTGAATATCGGAATTTTCTCAAGAATTTAAAAACTTCGAAAACAAAACTTTTTGGATTTACCTTCACCAAAATCTACGACGATTTTTGGATTTCAGAATTTTCTAAAGGAGAATTTAGAAACTTCGAAAACGGAAATTTTAGGTTTACCTTCAACAAAAACAACGAAGACGTTTGAATTTCAGAATATTTTTTAAACGAGAATTTCGAAACTTCAAAAACGGAAATTTTAGATTTATTTAATTTCAACAAAATCAACGAAGGTTTTTGGATTTCAGATTTTTTTCAAAGAGTTTAGGAAGTTCGAAACGGACATTTTATATTTACCTTCAACAAAATCAACGAAGATGGTTGAATTTCGGAATTTTCTCAAGAATTTAAAAACTTCGAAAACGAAACTTTTTGGATTTACCTTCACCAAAATCAACGACGATTTTTGGATTTCAGAATTTTCTAAAGGAGAATTTAGAAACTTCGAAAACGAAAATTTTGGGTATCCCTTCAACAAAAATAACGAAGACGTTTGAATTTCAAGATATTTTTTAAACGAGAATTTCGAAACTTCAAAAACGGAAATTTTAGATTTAATTTCAACAAAATCAACGAAGGTTTTTGGATTTCAGATTTTTTTTCAAAGAGTTTAGGGAGTTCGAAAAAGGAAATTTTATATTTACTTTGAACAAAATCAACGAAGATTGTTGAATATCAGAATTTTCTCAAGAATTCAAAAACTTCGAAAACGAAACTTTTTGGATTTACCTTCACCAAAATCAACGACGATTTTTGGATTTCAGAATTTTCCAAAGGAGAATTTAGAAACTTCGAAAACGGAAATTTTGGGTTTACCTTCAACAAAAATAACGAAGACGTTTGAATTTCAGAATATTTTTTAAACGAGAATTTCGAAGCTTCAAAAACGGAAATTTTAGATTTATTTAATTTTAACAAAATCAATGAAGGTTTTTGTATTTCAAATTTTTTTTCAAAGAGTTTAGGAAGTTCGAAAAAGGAAATTTTATATTTACCTTGAAGAAAATCAACGAAGATCGGTGAATATCAGAATTTTCTCAAGAATTTAAAAATTTCGAAAACACAACTTTTTGGATTTACCTTCACCAAAATCAACGACGATTTTTGGATTTCAGAATTTTCTAAAGGAGAATTTAGAAACTTCGAAAACGGAAATTTTGGGTTTACCTTCAACAAAAATAACGAAGACGTTTGAATTTCAGAATATTTTTTAAACGAGCATTTCGAAACTTCAAAAACGGAAATTTTAGATTTAATTTCAACAAAATCAACGAAGGTTTTTGGATTTCCGAATTTTTTTCAAAGAGTATAAGAAGTTCGAAAAAGGAAATTTTAATTTTACCTTGAACAAAATCAACGAAGATTGTTGAATATCAGAATTTTCTCAAGAATTCAAAAACTTCGAAAACGAAACTTCTTGGATTTACCTTCACCAAAATCAACGACGATTTTTGGATTTCAGAATTTTCTAAAGGAGAATTTAGAAACTTCGAAAACGGAAATTTTGGGTTTACCTTCAACAAAAATAACGAAGACGTTTGAATTTCAGAATATTTTTTCAACGAGAATTTCGAAACTTCAAAAACGGAAATTTTAGATTTAATTTCAACAAAATCAACGAAGGTTGTTGGATTTCAGAATTTTTTTCAAAGAGTTTAGGAAGTTCGAAAAGGGAAATTTTATATTTACTTTGAACAAAATCAACGAAGATTATTGAGTATCAGAATTTTCTCAAGAATTTAAAAACTTCGAAAACGAAACTTTTTGGATTGCAGAATTTTCTAAAGGAGAATTTAGAAACTTCGAAAACGGAAATTTTGGGTTTACCTTCAACAAAAATAACGAAGACGTTTGAATTTCAGAATATTTTTTCAACGAGAATTTCGAAACTTCAAAAACGGAAATTTTTGATTTATTTAATTTCAACAAAAGGTTTTTGGATTTCAGAAATTTTTTCAAAGAGTTTAGGAAGTACGAAAAAGGAAATTTTATATTTACCTTGAACAAAATCAACGAAGATTGTTGAATATCAGAATTTTCTCAAGGATTTAAAAACTTCGAAAACAAAACTTTCTGGATTGACCTTGATCAAAATCAACGAAGATTTTTTAATTTCAAAATGTACGGAGAATTCAGAAACTTCGAAAACGGAAATTTTTGGTTTACCTTCAACAAAATCAACGAAGACTTTTGGATTTCAAAATTTTTTTCAAAAAGTTTAGAAAATTCCGAAATCAAGGAAGATTTTCGGAATTGAGAAATTTGTCAACAAGAATTTTAGCAAATTAAGGTTTTGAGAAGAAATTTAAACATTTAGTTCTGACGAGAATTTAGAATTTTCTGCTAGTATCTGGTAAGATATGACTGATTTTGGCAAATGAGAACCCTCTAAGAAAAGAGAGGGTGGGTGGGCGGGGCGAATACCTGCGTAAGACAAGTCATTTTGAGAAATGAGATAAAAATAATCGAGTTTTCAATTTTTCGGTCTTTGTTTTTTTGATTTTTCGACTTCTCGACTTTTAGATTTTTCGATATTTTGATCGATATCTCGATGTTTCGGTTTCTAAACTTCTCGATTTTTCAATTTATCCACTGTTGAATTTTTTACTTATCGATTCTTCGACTTGTCGACGTCGATTTCAGAATTTTTCTTTTAACAAATTAACGCTAAAAAACATTTAGTTCTCACGAGAATTTAGAATTTTCGAATGCAGAAATTTTAGGTTTTTCTACTCTCAACAAAATCAAGGAAGATTTTCGGATATGAGAATTTTCTCAACAAACAAATTTTAAAGGTTTATCAAATTTCAGAATTTCGTCAGCGAGAATTTCACATTCCGATTATTCGAACTCTTCAATATCACGTTATTATTGGGCGGAGCTTTGAACGACCAATCAGAACCCAAAACCCGTCGACCATTCGCAACCCCAACCCATTTAATTCCGAAAATCAAACCCCCACGTCACACCATTTTCACATCCGGGGTGGCTTAAAGTCGACACTCGCTTCACACGGATGACGTAAGGCCGTGATTAACTTAAATTGGATTATGTTGTTGTTGTTGAACCGTTGAACTTACGAACTAGGCGCCGATTAGACGTCGCGGAAAAATTAATACGAGAGATAAACAAGATTTTTTCTTTTTCTAGATTTATGAATGGTTCGAAAAATGGTCGAAGGTCACTCGACGTCTATTTATAGAACTGTACATTTCTCATAAATGAATGGCTGCGGCGTCTGAAACTCGGGCAATTTATTATTGCACAAAAATAATTAATCAGAGAATGCAGGTGGTGGCAATTAAATTCTGGGTAAAATTTGCAATAACGCAATGTCGCAAATGCGATAAAAACGGTAAAATGATTGCTGCATTGTGTTGAGTAATAACATTTCAAAGTATAATTTTTAATTAAAAATTCAATGATCTTCACTTTCGTTCTCCGAATTAACACCGCCGAAAAAAATTTGCGTTCGAGTTGGCCTATAAGTATAAGATGATTCACATTTCCGCGATGATCGAAATAATAGTGCAACCTTTTGGGAAAACCTTCAATGAGTAATGTTATCGTACGACACATTTTTTTGTTACACCATCTTCCAAAATAAATACCGATAACGGTTCCAAATAAACACCGACTACAATTATAAATCGATCGAACGATAAGGGGTCAATCTAAGTCGGCGTCGATTATTATTATCCGATATCGAGAAAAATTTAATCGCGAGGAATTCGTTCGCCTACTCCAAACCGAGCAAAACACCTAGATATAAATTAAATTTACAACAGCGCATACACCGTCCGACCTTGGAGAAGAATTCGAAGCAGATTAACACCGTGAGAAACACACATTAAACAAGTATGCCATCCTTCCTTATCTTTGAAGTACAGTCACGCTCTAATTAATCAAAAAATGACGACGAGCGAGACGTTGTGCAGCTGTCGCGACCTATGCACATCTGGTCAGGTAGGTTTCTGGGTCGAAGAAAATGCCGATTTCCACTGGCCTGAATGCACTCTAGTCACTCTTTCCGTCCAACGTGAAGGAACCCTAGTCACTCGATCCGTCTCCGGCCGCGGCACGAAAGTGCCATTTTGTTTGCGGTCACGTGTAAACATGGAGGCCCGTTTTTCGTACGAAAACGGCAATCAAGTAGGCTCGAGCACGGTCCGGTTTCGCTCCCAGCTCCGCCCAACGATTCCGATTTTTTATCTAATCTAGATAACGCGCTACGCAAACAAATTCCTTTTGTCATCTTCGCGGAACGACAAAAATCGTCGCCTACCTCGAAAAAATTCTTCCGGAGAAAGTAGGCCACGCACATCTCCACCAATTTGTTTTTACAGTTCCGATCCAGAAAACACTCGGTTGCACAACAAAAGCGAGGGAAAAAACCGCCTGTGCAGCAACAATGGCCCGTTATTCGCAGAAAGGCGGCGTCGCATCGCGGCTTTCCACCATCGCGGAAGTGCTCGACGCCGATT